AAAGAAAGAAAGAAAGAAAGAAAGAAAGAAAGAAAGAAAGAAAGAAAGAAAGAAAGAAAGGAAGGCGGAGAGGGGGTGAGTGCTGTTGAATCATACCTGGCACCGCAGAGAGGTATGAAAGTGATGTCACCTCTGTTCTGCAGCCCTGTGTGTCACTAGCTCATGGCCAAGCACCCATTTCCGTTCCTGTTCCGATATGAGCGCAAGGCGCTGAGCCAAGAGCACCCTGGAAACACCCTAGGTTTTTGGCTCATTCGTTTTCTCCTTTACTTGCTTCCCTTTCCAGCTGAGAGCTAACTCAACAAGCTGGAAACATACGTGACAGCTCTGCCCACACCTACACCTTCCCCAGGTTTTTTATTTTTGAGGTAGGGTCTCACTGTGAAGCTTTGTCTCCTCCGGAACTAGGTAGACCAGGCTGGCCTCGGCCTCTGGAGTGCTGCGTAAGCCACCTACCCGGTTCCTTCTTCATTTCTTGCTAATGATGAAATATGCAAGGTTTTGTGTTCCGTTTAGCTTTACCATCAACGTCAGCGTGGAATGTGACATTTCTGGGAACTTCTGCAACCGAAAGGCTTACATCCACGTCTCTGGTAAGAGAGCCACCCATCACCAACTGGCCTCCCGTGTGTCACAAAGTCTGTCTTGCCAGAGCGCGAGGTTACTGGGAACTCATCGCATCAAGCCAAAGGTTTTCCCCTAAAAGATCTGAGTAAACTTGTTCTCTGTGTCAAACAGAGACCCAGGACTAGCTCAGTGGTGGAGGAGTTACCGTGCATGAGGCCCTGGGTTCAAGACCCAGTACCACCATGCTGCATAAATAGAAACAAGCTTCAGCAAGGTCCCTTCCAACGTTACCACAGCCCAGATAAAAATGAGCTTATAAACTTCCACTATATGAGGGATTCCCGAAGTTACCTGTGAGACTTCATTTTAGCCGGCAGTAAGAACAGGATAGCTAGGAGTCACTTCGAAGAAACAACCCCAGGCCGTGTACACCACTGTGACTCAACATTTCCTTTACCAAGTGAGGGAACTTTCTGGTTTTCAGTCATAAACGCTGCTGCCTGTTTACCAGGCTATGAGCTCCCCCTCATTTAGAAAGTTTCCGTATTTATCAACAGAGAAGAATTTGTAGATTTTTTTCCCTTATAAACTTTTCATTGCATCTTCTTAGTCAAGAGAAGTTTTAGGGTGACTCAGTGGAACTAAACAACCCTCCATGATAACCAAACTGAAGGAGGGGTGACCAAAGAGACTATTTTCTAAACAAGAGTGCCAACGCTAACATTCTTTGGGCTGCCCTTAAAATATATCTTCAGGTGAGTATTAGCAATGCCTAGCCAAAACTGAATGTTCAATATGAATGGAACTAAAGAAGAAAAGAGAATAGCTAAATTTATCTCAATTTAAAGAAGCAAAGAAACAAACCTTGCCCACTGTTAAAAATAACAGAGCCGTCAGGATGCTTTCTAACTCGGAGCCCAGCATGGCCACACACACCTGTTATTTGAGCACTTGGGAGTTGGAGGCAAAAGTATCAGGAATTTGGGGTCATCTTCAGTTGTATAGCAAGCTGAAGGCCATCTTACATTACATGAGATCCTACCGTAACATGAAGCAAAGTTGGAATTCATGCAGACAACTCAGGGATGGGCGATACTCTAAAACATTCCAAGATTACAACAGATCGGTCATTTGGGTAATTTTCTTGAGTTCTTTAAACGAATAAACCACCATCTTCACCCAAAAATAAGAGCACTTTTCAGCCACTGTGCTAGGTTTTAAGGTCACCACTTGCCTTAGAGTTTAATTTATTTTTTATGTATGTATTTATTTTTTTAGAGCAAACTCAAGTGAACTCACACTAGGGAGTTCAGCTTTCTCAAATCTGTACCTGCAGATGGAGACAACCCCTCATGCAGATGCTGAAGTTTTCACAGCAGAGGACGGGGGAGGAAGGGTCTTACCTTGAACCGCAGATCCCCAAACCAGGATGAAGGAGAGAACCAGGAGAAGCCTGCTGCCCATGGGAACCTGCCGCATCCTGACCAGCTCAGCCCCACACGCCAGCCTCTCGATCACCAAATGCTGCAGGGTGCTCTCTCTGGCCCTTTTAGAAAAAGGTTCCAAAACCTCAGACCCTGCCCAAGAACACACGTCACAGTTTCCTGAACAAATAGAAAGAGATCCACATCAACACCCAGAAAGAAGAAAACTGTAGAAAAAAAAAAAAAACAACTACTCATTCCCATGATGAAACACCAGACTCTCCCCAAACTTCTGTTTTTGTTTTTTTTTTCCAAAGAGTTTTGCTGTCTGTCATTTGTATGCTAATTCTTTTCTTTTTTTTTTAACAAAAAGTTTTTCCCATCAAAAAAGCCGAATCATAATTCAGAACACCTTTTCCCCCCTCCTTTCTTCAGGTAAGGGTCTAAACAGCTGAGGACTGAGGCTGGCACGGTAAGGGAGCTTGGGTGGGACCAGCTCATCCCACATTGCACATCAAGGAGAAGCAGAAGCTAGCTCAAGGAGCCGGCTCCAGCACGCAACTTTCCATGCTGGGGTCTCGCCACACTTTCTTCTTGGAATCAGTATTTACACTGGATCTTTGGCTTTCTCTCTAACTCACAATCACAAATAGGTGAGGACTTTGGGTTTAAAAATTAAAGGTAGCCGGGCGGTGGTGGCACAAGCCTTTGATTCCAGCACTTGGGAGGCAGAGGCAAGTAAGTGGATCTCTGTGAGTTCGAGGCCAGCCTGGTCTACAGAGTTCAGGATGGCCAGGGCTGTTACACAGAGAAACCCTGTCTCCAAAACAAAACAAAAAAATCAATCAAGATAAAACAAACAAACAAACAAACAAATCAAAACCTTAGCACTCCTCTGTCCCTTTACCTCACCTGCTTCCCCAGGGTCTATACCATTCATGTTTTCATCTTTTCTCCTGTTTTATGGATGTTTTGTTTTCTATTTATGTTGAAATTATTTTTTATATCTTCCAGGTCAAAAGTGAGGAACAAGGGCAGGTTCCCCTTTCAGAGTGTTATGGGATGTAAAAACACAAGCCACACATACTCCTGTACTAGCCTTTCCCTGGAGAGAGAGAGAGAGAGAGAGAGAAAGAGAGAGAGAGAGAGAGAGAGAGAGAGAGAGAGAGAGAGAGAGAGCGCATCAGAGAGAGAGAGCATCAGAGAGAGAGAGAGCATCAGAGAGAGAGAGCATCAGAGAGAGGAGAGCGCGCGTCTGGGGGGGGGATGGGGGGCGCTGCGGCTCTGAGGGTGGTTTATGCTGTACTGTTATCGAGGCAGCTTTTCCCCTCTTGGCTCTGAAGGGTCCACCACTCTCCATTTCAGGGGTGCTTTTCCTAGGCTGCTCAGATTCTTGCCTGCTTTTCCAGTTCATGCCCCCACCGCTTGGTCTTGCCTTGACGGGAGGGAGGAGTTTCCCTTCCCTTGTTCGGGGTTTCCTGCCGATTCCTTACCATTTCCTGCTAAGGACAGGCCTCAGAGCGCAAGAGCTCAGGAGCCCCGGTAGAGATAATAGTATATAACTGACTCTCCTCCGGAGCCTCTCAGAGTCAGGGAATCCTCAACCATAGGAACCAGCTCGCACACAGACCCAGCACACGACCCGTGTGGAGTATTAGTATCTGGTGGAACTTCAGCCCTCTATCTTTGGTTCCTTTACATCCTAACCTTCAATTAACTCTCTGATAACAAAACAAAAGACCCTGTTAATAGCTTCAGTAAGCTTTCCACAGCACCTCAGAGACTTTAGAAGCAGTGATGGTTAGTATAGTCAATTTCATATCACCTACGATCACGTGGGAAGAGGGTCTCAGTGAGAGATTGCCAGGTCAGGCTGGCCATGGTGGGAGGCTGGCCAAGGGGGTGGGGGGCTATGGGGGATTGTCTTGATTTTGATCTTATTTAATGTGGGAAGACCCAGCCCATGGCAGGCAGCACGATGCCCTGGCTTAGGGACCAGGAAAGTCAAGTAAGAGGAGAGAAAGCTAGTGTGCATTTGTTCCTTGTGTTCTGGATTGCCCATGTGGTGTGACTAGCTGCTTCAGCTCCACGCTGCCTTGACCCCCTCACAGGGATGGACTGAAGTGTGAGCTGAAATGACCTTTTCTTCCCTCAGTGGCTTTTGTTGTTGCTGTTGCTTTTGTTTTTCTGAGACAGGGTTTCTCTGTAGCTTTGGAGTCTGTCCTGGAACTCACACTGGAGACCAGGCTGGCCTTGAACTCACAGAGATTCTTGCCTCTGCCTCTTGAGTGCTGGGATTAAAGGCATAAGCCCCCACCGCCCAGCCTAAATGACTTTTTAATCAGGGTATTTTATCCCAGCATCAGAAATAGGACCTGAAGAAAGAAAAATTGTACCTGAAAATAATAATTGGGGCATGTTCTCACTTGGAAACTGCCCTGCCCCCAGTCTCTGGGTTATGAGAATATTATTCCTTCCTTACTTATATATTTATTGAGACAAGGTCTCGTGTATCCCCAGCTGGCCTTGAACTTGTCATGTAGCCAAGGAATTCTTTGAGCTCCCAAGCCTCCTGCCACTACCTCCCAAATCTGGAAGACTCCCAAGTCTCTAATCCCCTCTATTCACACTGCTGGTGTCAGTGGCCAGATTCATTCTAGAACATAAGCACCTGAAACCATACTCCAGAGACAGATGAGCAAAGAAGAAATAAGACTGGTGTGCATGTGCAAAAGGGAAGTCTTCCTGCTAGTCCTTATGGCTGGGGGGTATCTGTTAAACATTTCCATTCAGGACGATCAAAGACAAATTTGCTCAGTAACCTGAGGCTGGTTATTTAGTGCTGGGCACGGCACTGGCTTGATCATTGCCGAAGCGGACTGCACTGTTCTCCCTGACAGCGTGTGCTGAGAATTTCCGAAAGGCGTTTGTTAAAGATCTTTTCCCTTGAGTCCGCCTTAGTGGGAAAGTCCCTCCTGACTTTCTGATTTTAGCTGTATGTTTTTGTTTTTGAGACGAGGTCTCCATACACATCCCAAGCTGGAACCCACTGGATTCACGACGTAGCCAAGGCTGACCTCAAACTCTCCACAATCCCGCTGCCTCCCGCTCCCGAACGATGGGATGACAGGTGTGCATCCCATGCCCAACTCTTAAATCCATTAATTGCTTCTTTCGAAAAAAAAAAAACTCGTGGAAAAATTTAAATGACTGTTTCCTTGAATCTAATAGAATTTGAAATATTGGTTTCGCAGCATCTAAGAGGCAGAGGCAGGAAGATCAGGATTTCAGTCAACTCGAGGCCGGCATGGGCTGCCTGAGATCCTGGTCTCAAAAGCAGAAAGGACAAAGAAGCAAATAAAAGTCCATGCCGAGTCTCAAGTTATTGAGCTTTGAAAGTCTAAACAGTGCTAGGTTCGAGCCAGGCGCTGAGTATCACTGACGTGAGTGCCAGGGAAAAGGGGATGTGGTGATCTCTTAGGAGTCCTTTCACTTATATATAATATAATATAATATAGAAAGTAAATATCTCAGAGAGACATTCAGGCAGAAGGGAGCAGAAGTAGATCCTTTGAAACGTTGATCTAGCATGGTAGCCAATGACTATAACCCCAGCATTTGGAAAGAAAGGCAGGGGAACCAAGAGTTTAGAGCCAGCCAAGTGTGGCGGTGCACACCTTTGATCCCTGCACTTGGGAGGCAGTAACAGGAGGACCTCTGTGAGTTCAAGGCCAGCCTGGTCTACACAGCAAGCTAAAGGACAGCCAGGACTATGTAGAGAGATGCTGTTTCAAAAAAAAAAAAAAAAGAATTTGGGGTCATCCTGAATTACCTGAGATCCTGATTCAAAAGAGTCTTTATTTGACTTTAAAGCTCCTAATCTTTTTCCTACACACACTATCAACCTAGTCTGACATTGCTTTTGTGTGTCATTAATTACCTTTTCTAATTGAAAATCTGTTAATGATTACTAGGAAAAGGTCAGTAGTTGGAGATTTTCAAGGAAGAACTTGAAAGATAAATCCCTTGTCGCCCCCTACCCCAGAGATTACAAAAGTCCTACCCTGCCCCTGGCGACCCAAAACTGCCCATAGCGCTCAGCATGCTGGGTCCATTTTCATCACTTTTTATTGCCTTTCTTGAAACTCTGTGGCATTATGAGGCCCATTGATAGACTGTAGATGCCAGCCAGTCCTGCTGCTCATTCAGATGCACTACCTGCAGATTCTAAGCTTTCTCTGGGATAAGCAATCCACCAAAGTTCAAGTCCTCAACTCAGTGACTGGCCAGGAACTCATTGCATAGCGGGCTGAGCTCAGGGAGATCCACCTGCCTCTGCTCCGTGAGTGCTGTGACTAATGGCACGCACCATCACATCCTGTCTTTGAGGCAGGGTCTCTGGTAGCTCAGGCTGGACTTGAACTCACTAGGTATCTGAGAATGACCCTGAATTCCTGGTTCTCCTGTCTTGGCTTAGTACGTGCCAACCATACCCTGCTTTATCCGTAACACAACACTGGCTAGACTTCACAATCCAGCCTCACTCTTGCTTCCTTTTTCTGCCCAGAAGAACCCCAAATGAAGCTTACAGTACCTGGCATTATAGTAAAGTTGCCAGTCATGGAGGAAGAAGGAAGTACTCGCTCCTTAATGTGTGACCACAGAACATTAAGCAGCTCTTCAACGGCCTTTTCATTTCCATCTCCAGGGACTGACCACATTGACCAATGAAATTACTACACTTCGGTTGGTTCTTATTTCATGCTAGACTCTAGTCCCCCTCCCCCGCCCCGTCTTCATTGCAAACATTAAAAAGGAGCAAACAGACTCAATGAAATGCTCCTTGGAAATGTAAAGGTTTTCGGGGCTAGAGATGTAGCCCTGATAATGATAGAGTGTCTGCCTAGCATGCAAGGAGTCCTCGGTTCAACCCTCAGCAATTCAGATAGATAGGAAGTCTATCTCTCTCTCTCTCTCTGATGGAAGCCACGGTAGATCTGAACTTGTTGGCCTCTCTGTTCCAGCTTCAGCCTCCTGAGTGCTAGGATACAAGGTGTGCGTCACCATTCTTGGCTCATGGTAAATTAAAACTTAAGGCCCATTAAACGATAAAGGAATATAAAATCTAGCTGCTTCTGATTAGTAATGAAATGATGTATGTTTTGTTGACCCTTCTTTGATTTTTTTACTGCCCCTCCCAAACACTTAAGTTTGCAGATGGCCTTAGCATACCTCTGCCTCCACCTCCACCCCCAGACAAACTCTGCCTGAGTAATTTTGGGTCTCACGTGTTCTAGTCTCGGCTTCAGAGCAGCTGCTGTTGCTGTGAGACAGGGTTCCAGGCAGCTAATACTAACCTTGCACTAGCTATGTGGCCAAGGCTGGCCTTGAACCCCTAATCTTCCTGAGTACTGGAAGTATCAGCTGTACCCAGCTTCATGCCAGTTTTATTTCAGTGGTGTGGTTTTGACTGTTAACATAATTCAGGCTCCTTTAGCTATGGCTCTAAAAAGGTTAACAGTTTTCCAGGCAAGGTTTCTCAGGCGCACTATCACAATTACTTTGAGAAGACCTGGTTTGCAGCCCCACCCCAGAGCTAGGGATGACCCTAGGGTCTCACACGCTCTAGGCAGGCTCCGTTCTACTCAACCTACTCCCAGCCCTGCTGTCGTCTGACAAAACACTCCAGAAAATTCTTCCTTCTTTCTCTCATATGAACATGTGTGGGTATGTGTGCGCCAGGGTGAGGAGGCTCAACACTGACAACAAGAGTCTTCCTAGCCGGGCGGTGGTGGCGCACACCTTTAATCCCAGCACTTGGGAGGCAGGCGGATCTCTGTGAGTTGGAGAACAGCCTGGTCTACAAGAACTAGTTCCAGGACAGGCTCTAAAACTACAGTGAAACCATCTCGCAGAGTTTCTCTCTGTGTGGCCCTGGCTGTCCTGGAACTCACTCTGTGGGCCAGGCTGGCCTCAGACTCACAGAGATTCACCTGCCTCTGTCTCCTGAATTCTGAAGTCCAGAGCAAGGACTTTAATCACTGAACCATCTCCTTAGACCCCAGAAAGTTGCTTTTTTTTAAAAAAGATTATTTATTTTTATTTTTATGTATATGAATGAGTACCTACATGGATGAATGCATGTATGTATGTATGTATGTATGTATGTATGTGCACCCTGTGTGCCTGGTACTCAATGAGACCAAAAGAAGGCATCATCAAATCCCTTGGAACTACAGTTACAGAGTTTGAGTTGACATGTACAGAATATCCCAGCCTCACCCTCCCCCGAAATCATTTTGATAAAGTACAAAAAGTTAACTTGCCAGGCATGGTGGTGCACACCTTTAACCCCAGCACTCAGGAGGCAGAGACTTGCAGATCTCTGAGTTCAAGGCCAGCCTGGTCTACGGAGTGAGTTCCAAGATAGCCAGGACTACACAGAGAAACCTTGTCTCAAAAAACCAAAAGATAAAATAAAAAGTTCTTTTAGGGGCTAGAAAGATGGCTCAGCAGTTTAAAGCACTGGCTACTCTTCCACAGGGATTGGGTTTGAGTCCCAGGACCCACATAGAGGCTATACAACTGTCTGTAATTCCAGTTCCAGGAAATCTTACAGCCACCTCTGGCTTCCGCAGGCACCAGAGACACATGTGCAGCACATACATGCATGTGGGGCAAATACTCATACACATAAAAATAAATTAATTAATTAAGATATTTTAATAGAGAGCAAGCCTTGAATAACCCCTTAGGGTCCAACAAGAATAAGGAAGTTAGGTCAGAGGTCAGCTCTCAAAAACAATCTAAAAAAGAATTGTGGTTAAGACCACAAACACAGCTCAGTGGCAGAACATATCCACCTGAGACCCTGGGATCGACCCTCAGCATAGTAATAATAATAGCTACTATTACTATTATTTACCTCAAGGCAGTGTAGGTGGGAATCACGGTGCCAGGGAGGCTGAAGAGAAAATATATTTGGGGGTGAAACAGTCCCGCTGGGTCACAAATGACGTGTCCTTCGATTTTGGAGCATCCACTGAAGCACTTGCGGTAGCTCACGGGGTGAAAGGGAGGTAGGTCCTTTCCACTTTGAGTTTTCCCAAGAACTTGGGACTAGTAAAAGGAGACCTACTTCAACAAACTCGCAAGAGATTGCAAGAAAGATGTGTGACTACATCTTAAAACGACAGATGGAGAGACGGAGGAACGGGGGAGGACCCGTCCTCAATCAAGCCAGGCTTCCCCAAGGCACATCCTACCTCAGAGAAGGCCAAGGACGGATGTGTCTGCAGCGCTCAAAGGGCAGTTATCTAAAGAGAGAGGCTGAGCACACTTTCCTTTTGGAGCGGTGGGGATGGGCAGGCAGAACAGGGCTGTGGCGTTTCTAAGTGTGCCCATGTATTTTAGTTTTGGGATATAAAGCCACTCACCCAGAATAATGTGTTCTGAGTGTATCCAGAATGCTGGCCCATGCTCTTCCCCTTCACAGTTACTACCTTTGGGCTAATGAGCTCACTATTAGTTAAGAATCTTGAGTTCACAGGGCTCCCTGAAGGTTCAGGCCTTGAGGAACCTCCTCTGGTCGTTTTCCTGTCAAGGCTAGCTTTTAAGCAAGGCTATTTCTCAGCTTCCACACCGAACCCCAAAGATCTTTTCCATCCATTATAATCCCCGCCTCACTCTACTCCCTTAGTCTCTGCTGACAGTCAATGAAAAGACAGACCCAGAATTTGCAGTGTGTGTGTGTGTGTGTGTGTGTGTGTGTGTGTGTGTGTGTGTGTGTG